TAATATGCCACGCGACGAGTCACGACCAGGGGGACAATGGCGAAGCTCTGAAAGCGATAGCCACGTTTGCTTCGGGCTGGCCACGTCTGCGAACGACTGCCGGCTCGTTCTCTGATTTAAAGATATTCTCATGCGTGGCTAGACATTAAGGACGTTGGCAGTAAAGACGGTGAAATTTCTTGAATGGCCAGGAATCGATTGGATTATTGCGCTCAAGGGACAATTTTAATGATCGAGGATATATTTTACGTTGTTATTCGATCGCGACTAAGTTGCACAAGCCTGGAAGTCAGGTAGGCGAAATTTGAATGTGGGTCGTAGATGACGTTAAGACTCGCTTCCTGTGAATAGTTTCAGGAAATGATGGAGGCAACTTTCTAACAACTTGAGGGACAAACTTTGTAGCAACTTAAGAAATAAAGTTTGTATCGACCTGAACCCAAACTTTGTAGCAATCTGATGCACATTATCGTAGATGCCGCGCGTATCGCATACTATGCATTACAAATTTACTTTCTACAGACTGTACTACAAAAACACATATTTGTCCGCGTAAACATAGCGATATTACTCATGTTCACTACCATCAACTAACAAGAATGGAAATAAAATTCCCCTTCAACACATTCGGCAACTAATGAAGATAAAACTTTTGTGCGTTATCGATGTATGAACGATTTTTCAAATAAAAATTGATTCGTTATTTACGAATAAACCTGTACGGTCCATTCGTTATCATTTAGTTGATATTCAAAACAAAAATTCCCCAGTGCCGACGACAACACGTGTAAACCGTTGTATTTCACCATAGAACCGTCAACATTTTTTCACCCAGTCGACGGTTACATTTTGACCGGAACAATTTGTAAACTCTAAATACGAATATCGTTATTCCTCCATCCCCCATTCCAACAAAAAAACGAGTCGTATTTTCCGATAATCGAAGATTAAAAGAATTCATCGCAAAACGGGTAGGTTTTCCGCTGGAAATCCTTTCTCCAATTAGCCGTTCCACTTTTTTTCGCTCAGCGTATGCGGCAGTTTATCCTGTCGCATGCAACAGTTTCCCAACGCGTGTAACGAGTCCGACCTTTTTTTCATTCCGCAGCGGCTGATGCTGCGAACTATCACGTACCTACTAGTCATCGTTAATCGTATTATTTGCCCGCTAATTAAGTGTACAATAAATTTGACAGGACTGGAGTAGGCCTTATTGGAAACGGCTGCTAATGGACGCCGCGCCCGTTTATTTTGTGCGCTTGTGTCCCATTTAAACATTTGCTTTTCGCGGAGCCGACAGCTGTTTCATTTAAGACTAATTATGGATTCTCGGTCGCTTAAATGACTAATTTATCTCTTATCCACTATGCGCGAAGACACAAAACACATATCGGAGCCTCGATATTATACTATATTTATTGTATCCACTAGGTATGAATAACTTATTTCATCATACATAAAGTTGAGTCATCAGAGCCTCGGTCATGATCACTCAAACCCAGTGGCACTTTTCACTTACTGTGGACGAAACCCACAACACTATATCCAT